ACAAGACTCTACCTCAAAAAAATAAATAAATAAATAAAAATAAAACTGAAACGAGACACCACTGCCAACCTATTACAACAGCTAATGAAAAGCACTGATAACAGCAAGTGTTGGTAAGTTTTCAGAGCAACTGGAATGCTCTTAGACATTGCTGGTGAAAATTCGAAATTCAAATGGTGCAACCACTTAGGGACAAGAGTTTGGCAATTTCTTATAAAGTCATACATACTCTTACTGTACAATCCAACCATCCTAATCCTAGATATTCAAGACAAACAAAAACATGGGTGCAATACCCACAGCGTTCCCAACTCCAGTGTGGGTTTGGGTATCAGCCCCTGGATGTGTCTAAGGCTTTGCTCCCCAGGAACGACCAAATGCACTCTGGGTTGTGAGTGCAGCTTTGAGCCCAACTTATGGCTCCATCCCCTGTAGCCCCACTTGTTCCTTTAATATTATCAGTTCCTCAGCCTTCAGTCGCACCGCATGCGGTCTTGAGCCCTCCTCCCAGCCTCCCGCCTCCTTTCCTCTGATGCCCTGCAGCCTCTCTGCCTACCCTCTTCTTTCTGTACAAACCGCACCTCTCTTCCAAACGACCTGCTTACTCGGGAGACCTTAGATATTCTTCTGCTGCCGGTCACCTGCTGTTCCCCACACCCAAGCCCTGGAACCGACAACTTGGGGGGCCTCGCTGGATCCCAGGCTATCGGATGCCACAGCTATCTCACCCCCTCCGCAACCTCCGCAGAGGATCCGGGACTAGCAGACACCCAGGCACTCGCTGGCCTCGCTGCTGACCTGCCATCACCCTTAGGAAGGAATGTCTTCCACCTCTGTAATGGCCTAAACTGCATGCTGCTTCCAAAAACACACCACCAGGACAGGTGGAGAATTTTCCTTTGTGGTCACCAACTGTCATGCAAAGGGGTCAGGACCCACGCCACCGGGGCTGTGTGACATGAATGTCAAGCAGGTTCGCTGAGGGAAGGCGCACAGGTGGAGGAGGGTGAGGCACACACCATGCCGCAGCTCGGGCCTGCGTGGATGGTCTGCGCTGTGGCCGGCACTCCCGCGCAGAGGGGCCGTGTCCTTCTACGTACAGCGTCAGGGGAGAGGAAACGTCTATGAGACGATGGCAGCTTCTGGTCAGGACAATGTTCTTGCTAGAAAGGGGCAGCCTCTGGGGCTCGCTGGCCGGTAGCAGCCTGTCCCTCCGCAGCGGCGACTCAGGCTTGCCTGGCCCGCACCACGTTGCTGCCAGAGAGAGGCTGGAATGAGCCTCGGGCCGAGGCAGTCAGCTTCTCCTTGGGGCTCTGCCCAGATCAGAGCACACTGCAGAGCTGAGGCTCAGACTCTGGGCAAGGACACGGATAGGCTGGGGCTGGCACCTCCGATGGGGACAAAGTGGCTGATTCTGAGAGTGCTAAAAAAGAAATAAAAACAAACAAAAGTTAGAGACATAAACCAAGGGCTGCTGCCAGGGGGACAGCCATTGCTGAAGTGGTGTCCATATGTTTCCCGGGGAGGATTCCCCTTCACCACTGCCTCTTCCAAGGACCTTCCTGCTCGGGTCTCCTAATGCTTCCAGAGGCCACTGTCAGAGGGTGCTGGCAGATGGCGCTGAGCCCCCTAGGAACCAGTCCCAAGCTGCGTCCTGCTCAGTGCAGCTGCCCGAGAAACCGTGCGTGAGGGCGGATGGAGAGAGAAGGCAGAACCAGGGTAGGTGGCGGGACGGTCTGAGCCGCCACCAGAGCATCTGCTTGTGCCCTCCCCGCACCCCACTCCTCAGCTCCACCCGCAGCGCGTTGCACGCCGGGTCTTGCGGCTGTGCGGGTCGGATTCCACCCGACTCCTGACAGTCCACTCAGGTTTCATAATTGCTTGATGTCTCGGGGCCAAGTGTTCCATCTCTAACCGAGTCAAGAGTTGTCCCTCAGAAGAGATTAGCTATCTGCAGAAAGTGGCATACGCTTGTGCCAAAACCCTAACAGTTTATTCTGGAAAGTTCTCCAGGGGTTCCTAGGGCATCTCTACCTGCCGCTTTCACTTCTGAGCATGATGCGATCTGCTGGGTTATAAGACCCAAGAAAAAAAGTAGCTTAAACTCCAGCTTGTGCCAAATGCAGAGGCTTCTCTTGTGCTAGACCACAGTTCGCACTGGCATTTGTATGGGCTGTTCTCTAAATGGATCAGAGAAGACACCCACATGTGGCATAGATGGCCTCCAAAATCCAACGAGGCCCTCCAAAATATTATGCCTCTTTTTATAGTAGTATATGGCACAAAATGCAGCCACTTCCCTTTCACCTGTGTGGAAATCTTCCAACGTGCTCCCGTCCCCTAGCTCCTGGGAAGCTCGCGGAAGTGCCAGACCCCTGAATTTTTGTGCGGTTTACCTTCCATCCTCCATTTTTTATTTCTCTAAGGCATCTAAGGTGCTTGTTAATTTCCTGCTCGTTTGGTCTAATCGTCATGACATTATCAATGCAGTGGACCTGCGTGCTGTTCTGTGGGATGGCAAGTGATCACGGTGTCGAGGACTAGACTCTATCAGAGAGCAGGAGACTCGCCCTGGTCCTGAGGGCAAACAGTGGAGGTACCTGTTGGCCCTTTTAGATAAAAAGTAACTGCTTCTGGGGGATCCTTACAAATTGGTGCAGAGGGAGGGGAAAGAATGTACCAGATCTGTAGCTGAATACCAAGTGCCTGAGAAGGTGTTGACTTGTTGGGACAAAGGTGCCATCCCTGGAAAAACAACTAAAATCAGAGTTGCCACCTGATTAAGCCTCTGATACTCCACAGTCGCTCTGCAAGATCTGCATCTGTCCGCGTGGGCCGCGCAGGGGCGGGATTCAGATGTGAGACTATGGCGACTCCTGCATCTTTCCGGCATGTTTCCCGCCTGCGTAGAGGGAGAGTTTCAGGGCTTTCTCTCGGTCCTTAGAATCACAGCAGCCCTCACTCCAGAGGCAGGGAGTGAAGCCAGGATTCTCCCAGTTGCCAAGTGTACCTCGTGCAATTGAAAATTCAGGAAATAAACTTCAGGGTGGGCTTTGGATGCACTGAATTCACAGTGAGAACGTACTGAGGCCAAAACGTCACTTACCACCTGAGCACCATAAGATCTCACTTTGCTAAGTCACGATGGTATTTGGGTTCCAAGGAAAATTCAAGACCAGTGTCTACTAATCCTCGAAGGTTCTGAATATTTTCCTGTCCCCAGGGCACAGTTACCCTGTAAGTGGATAGAAGTCCGATCTGAAGGGAAGATATAAAGTATAAACTGAAAGCAATGTTTTAGAGTCATTCCCCAAGAGTACCAGCCTCCTCTTCAATTAAGGGAATTTTGGTCTCAAAATCTGCTTATGCTTAGAATTTGTGCAAGATTGTGTATAATTTTTCATTTTGATGACCTGTGTCAGATTTCTACTCACCAGACCTGTTATATGGATATTTCACAGAGATAAGTTGATACATGGGCGTCAAATAAGTTCAACAGGTCTCAGAAAACTGTGAAAGAAGTGAAAAGAAATAGAGCTAGCACAGAAATAGCGACTGTGCGACACAGCTATCAGCCAGGACTGAGAATCGAGTTATCAGAAGCTAAAATATGGAGAAGCAGCCCTGGAGAGCCAAACCCAGACTAGGGCTGCCTGGAGGGTGCTGGTGGGGCCGGAGGCGGACAATGAGACTGGTTCTGGAAGTGCAAACAAATAAAAGTTCAAACCCGGAAGCAACCGCGTGTTCCCGGGCCACGCCCCCAGCCTGAGGCGGATCCGCCTCCCACCCCCAGGCTCCTCTAGCGCCCTCTGTAGGCGGGGCCTCACAGGGACCCAGGTGGCAAAGCAGCCACGTGGTTCGCGCAGTCTCAACCCCAGGGTCACAGAGCTGAGGTGAGAAGGGTGGATTTGAGGCTGAGCGACAATAGCTTAAACCCTGCACATGAATCAAGTTCCTGTGGCTTCACAGCATTTGACATTTCCAAATACAAATTAGCGCGTCACGAAGGCTCTAAATCCGAATTGCCCAGATGTCGATAGCAACTCAGCCACTTTCTATTGTGTGTGACTTTGTGTAAGTCACTTATCTGTGCCTCAGTTTTCTCACCTGCAAAATGGAGACTTTAATAGTACCTGCCTTATTTGTTTAGCATACAAATTCGCTGATTTAGTACACGTGGAGCACTTAGCCCGGTGCTGGGCACGCAGTGCATTCACTGCGGTTCTTGCTGCTGCTGTTACCAACTCACCGTCGTTATTACTACCCGGGTTAGTGAGAACTAATTCAGCATCTTCCAGGGAAGTCTTGTTGCCACACCACATTTGGCAATGTTTCAAAGCTACTCTGCACCCAAAGTGGCAGATACTTGGATTTCCTCCAATTTGGAGGAAGGATGCTTGGGTTTTGATCTGGGGATGTGTTGGTGGTTGGTGACTCTCTTGCTATTTAACTAATAATTGCTGTCAGTACAGCCTTGTCATTACCAGTTTAGTTTGTTATGGGCTATTTAGTTTAACTGCCTGTATAATGATGCACATTTGCCTCAACCCTGTGCGTGCCTGGCCTGCAATTTTCCACTAATTAGACTTTTTAAAGACACATATGCATTTATCTACTCAAATATGCATCATCCGCTTCCCTATTGCCAGAGCAGATGTACACAGCACCCACCCACCCCAACTCCAGGAAATAATTTGCTTATTATCTCAGGGTTATTTTTCCACTGAAAAGTAGAAACTTATGGGGGCACAGATGGGTTCTTGTCCTACGGAAGTGACAGCCATCAAAATAGTGCAGACAAGAGGTGCTGAGTCTGAGGCAGGCGGGCATAGTGGGGTTGAGTGGAGGGATCAGACCCCAAGATATCTGAAATATAGCAGCAAATCCACCAAGGACCCCAAACCCACCACTTAGGTTCCAGCCCCCATCCCAGAAGGATCCAGACACTCACCAGTTCCCCAAGAATCAAGCACGCAGGCGTTATTCATCTCAAATGGCTTTATTTCCCCAGTGTGGGGAGAGTGGAGTCTGTGGTCCCTGTAACCCCAAGAACCCTCCAGCCTTCCGGTGCTGTGGCAGGGCCCTCAGAGGGGCAATGGCCCAGGCTCCAGAGCTGGGTCCTCCCAGAGTGGATGTGGTTCTGGGAGGAGCCGGGCATGCTGTGGTTCGCATGGATGACACCCCCCAAGGTAGTCAGCAGCCCAGGTGGTAGTCCATGGGCATGGGGCCCACGCCAAGGACAAGGCCACCAGGTGCAGGGGTCGAGGTCCAGCTGGGCCTTACCCTGGGAGCAAACACCGCTGCGGAGGCTACTCCCTGACATCCGCCGACAGAGCTCAGTCTGGGGGAAAGAGAGAAGACAGAGCAGGTGATTGGGGGAGAAGGGAGAGACCGGCAAAAAGAAAAAACACGAAGAAAGAAGCACAAAAAAAGCCCAAAGACCAAGAGAGTGACCAATGAAGGGGCAGCGAGACAGAAAAGCACACACAAACACAGCAACAGAGGTGGGAAATACACAGGTTGACGCTACACACTGACCTTTGACCCCAGGCGGGGATGGGGGTGGCGGCCCACCTGGGGGCAGCAGCGCAGAACGGCTCAGGGCCTCAGCCACCCAGCCCAGGACGCGGCTACAATGCCGGACCTGGGGAGCGGGAGGGATGTTAGAGGACACGGGAACCCTACTGCCCCCGCTCCTGCCACAGTACCCCAGCCACGCCCCAAGTCCTCACCTCCCGCTCCAGCCCTTTCAGACGCTGCTCATACTCGCGGATGTGTCCTAGCTGCTTCAACGCAGTGTCCACCCTGGAAAGGGAGAGCTTCAGGCACAGCCCACCTACCAACCCTCGAAGCCCCGCCCCGCCTAAGCCCCGCCCCTAGCCCCGCCTTCCGCCTGGCCTGCCCCCACCCCCCGACCCTGCCCCCCAGGCTCCGCTTCTGTCCCTGGCCTTTGCAAGCCCCACCCCGCCTCAGCTGACTTCACGGGATGTGCCCCCCAGGTCGAAAGCCCCGCCCCCGCCCGCGTCCCTCTCTCACTTCTGGGACGTGCGCTTCAGACGCTCAGAGTCGCTCTCCCGCTTGTCCCGAGCGCGCACCAGCAAGAAATGCTCCTTCTGCACCGATTCCCAAGTCAACAACTTCCGTTCCTCTTCCTTCGAGAGGTTGACCCCTGCAAGGCGGAGTCCGGATGGAGTCAAAGGGCCCGCCCCCGGCTCAGGCCACGCCCCGCCTCGGGCCACGCCCCCGCCTCGGGCCACGCCCCTCCACCGGACACCCTCAGAGCCGCTCTCCCAGACCCCGCCCGGGCATTTCCACAGCACGCTCCGCCCTTCACCGCCCAAGCCCCGCCCACAAATCTTTTGGGCCTTCCCCCGCCCCCCCTTTCCATGCAAGTCCCACCCCCTGTATTTCTCCTTTTTAGGCCAAGCTTTGTTCTCACGGAAATGCGAGGAGGAGGGTGACGAAGAGGAGGAGGAGGACCTGCGTTGCCATCTCCTGAGGAGGAGGCGCACGTGGGAGATGATAATAAGGGGCGGGGCCAGCGCCGGCCGAGAGTGGAATTCCTGGATGAGGCTGTAGCGCTGCGCCTTCCAGTAGAGGTCGCTGTTGCCCTGTACTTTGCCGAACGTGTGGCTGTGGAAGCCAGAGGTCAAGGTCACCCGAAGTCAGAGCCCAATCAGGAGCAGGGGATCAAGGTTAGATGTCAGGCACTATCTGTTCGAAGTCCAAGGCAGCAGGCAGATGTCAAGATTAATAAAGTCAGAGGTTATTACAGGGTAAGATTAGAAGTCAAGTTAGAAGATCCAACGGTCAGATGTCAGCGATCAAGTTGGGGATGGTATCATGTATTAAAAGCAGATGTTGGAGTCAGGATTAAAGTTGGGCTCAAAAGTCAGCCTGGACACAAATAACTAAAATCAGAAATGAAAATGGAGACATTACTACTGACCTGACAGAGATAAAAAGGATTGTAAAAGAATACTATCGACGGTTGTTACGTCAATTAGATAACTTAGTTGAAATGGACAAATTCCTAGAAATACACAAATTACCTAAACTGACTCAAGAGGAAATAGAAAATCTCAATAGATTTATCATAAGAGTTTGAATCACGAATAAAAACCTTCCAATAAAGAAAAACCCAGGACCAGATGGCTGCACTGGTGAATTCTACCAAATATTTAAAGAAGAATCAACACCAATGCTTCTCGAATTCTTCCAAATATTGAAAAGGAGAGAACACTTCCTAACTGAGTTTGTGAGACCAGCATTAATGTGATACCAAAGCCAGATAAAGATACCACAAGAAAATTACAAACCAAGGTCCCTTATGAATATACGTGTAAATGTCCTCAGAAAATACTAGCAAATTTAATTCAGCATCATATGAAAAGAATTATACGCCATGACCAAGCGGGATTTATCCGAGGAAAGTAACAGTAGTTCAACATACAGAAACCATGTAATACACTGCATCGGTATTACTAGAACAAAGTCAGGGGGGGGGGACCACATGAACATCTCAACTGACATAGAAAAGGCACTTAACAAAATTCAACGTCATTTTATGATTTAAAAAAAATCCCTGGGCCAGGCGCAGTGGCAAATTTTATATTATACATATTTTACCCCGATAAATCAAGTTTAGCCTGGGCTCAGGGAGAGGATCAGAGTCCAACGTCCAGGTCAGAAGCAGGGTCTGGCTGGGCTTGGGAAGAAGCCAGCCTTAGATTTAAGTGAGTTTAGAAACTAAAGACAGAACTGATCAGGCTGGGTTCGAGAGTCATGATGGGGTCAAGGGTCATGCTAGATGAGGTTGGATCAGACAATCAGGCCTCACCTGAACATAGCGATGAGCAAATTGACCAGCAGGATGTTGGCCACCAGCAGGAAGATGACAAGGAGCAGGACCACCAGCCAGTTGGCATAAAGGGAGACGCACGAGCCGGCCTGGGGCCCCGGCGGGTGCGCCCAGAAGCCCGGCTCCGACGAGCAGTTGACATGCTCCATGAGGGCCACTGTGAAGGGAGACACTCAGACATGAGGCCGGAGGGACAGAGACCTAAGGAAGTCAGAAAGCCAGAGAGGGTGGGGTGGGCAGAGGCAGGGTGGCTGGGGGGCAGAGACCCAGAGGAGGGGGGCAGAGATACAGAGAGAAGGGGACAGCATCCCATAGAGATAATGGTGGGGAATGTGGGGAGTCACTGGGAGGAGACAGAGATTCAGAGGGAGACATTTTCTTAGCAGGGTACAGAGGCCCAGGGAAAGGGGACAGAGACTCAGAGGGAAGGTGTCAGACCCTGTCATCCCTCCCTACCGTCCATGTCCTCCTGAGGGATCTGCCCGAAGATCTGCAGGTAAGGCCGGTAGAAAACGCGGCGCAGGATACCGGGGAGGTCACGGTCCTTGGGCCTTAGGAGCCCCTCAGTGGCCACTCCGTAGGCAACCAGCCACACGCCAAGGAAGAACATGAAAAAGAACACGTCCTTCATCTGTGGGGTGAGGAAGGTGAGTCCGAGTCTGTCCCGACCCTGGTCCCTAAACCACGCCCCCGGCCAAAGCCACGCCCTTCCTCCCAAACTGCTCCCTCGCTGGCCCCACCCCTTTTATGTGGCCCCGCCCCCCAGGCCGCGACTCTCACCATCTTGTTCACGATGACAATCTTGGGCCCCAGCTGCTTGTTGACCGTGAAGATGTGCAGCAACCGCAGCGTGAAAATCATGAAGTCGAGGCAGAGGACAGTGCGGCCCAGGTCATACAGGCCTTGGGTCAGCCTGGGGTGTGGGGAGACGTGGCAGGGGTCACCCAAGGATCACAGGATGCCAAGGAAAACGGGAGTCTTCCCAATACCATGCTTCAGATGAAGCTGTGGCCGCCACAGGGCAGGACCAGGACCCTCCGGTTTCACCAGGGTTTTCTCAAATTTAATCAGTGCCACGCTGGTCTGCGCAGGGCACGGGCCCCTATTTAAAAATGGCTACACCTGGCCGGGCGCGGTGGCTCACGCCTGTAATCCTAGCACTCTGGGAGGCCGAGGCGGGCGGATTGTTTGAGCTCAGGAATTCGAAACCAGCCTGAG